GGCGCTGTGTGAATTGTCCTGAAATTATTATTATTATGACTAACAAACTCTATGCGTGGTAGTCTTGTCGCCGTCGCTGCCTGTTCCTTTGTATCTTTTAAATAAATAAATAAATTACGCAAAGGATTTTAATGCAGTTTTCAGCAATAGATAGAGTGATTCAAGAGGATGGATGATTTATATGTATAACTAGCCCGCCCGGCTTCATCCGGGTGTTCATGTATATATATAAACCTTCCTCTAGTATCGCTCTATCTATTAAAAACCGCTTCAAAATCCGTTGCGTAGTTTTAAAAATTTAAGCATACATAGGGACGGATAGACGGCGATAGCTACTTCATTTTATACTATGTGATGATACATCCATGTTATAGTATAGAGATAGTAGAGAAATTCAAAAATTTGTAATTCATCCGTACTAATCCTGGATGAGTCGTTCGTACAATAATGAATACTCACCATCTGACTTGGGTTGCCACCAGAACCCTGTATACCTGGAGAACTCCTCCTGAGTTACGTAGCACGGCACCCCGGCCTGACGAGGGTCATCTGCCAACCTGAAAGATGAAGTCCCCATTAAACCTGTACCAGAAAAGATATGTCCCTTAAAAGGCGTAGATTACTGGAACCTGATAACTCATCAGATTTTTTTTTTATAATATAGGGAAGAAACTAGCTTGCGGTTCACCTGATGGTAAGTTATTACCGCCAACCATGAGCACCCGCAACACCAGGCAAATTGCAATTGCATTGTGTTGCCGGCCTTTTAAAAAGGTATAAGCTCTTTTCTTGAAGGTTTCAATACCATATCGGTTCGGAAATACCATTGCTGGAAGGTGATTCCACAATGTGGTTGTGCATGGCAAAAAGTTTCTAGAAAACCGCACTGTGGAGGACCGCTTCATCCAGATGATCAGGATGGTATTTTAGTTTTAGAGGGTGGTACGATGTTGAAATTCAGCAGCTGGTATTAATCTGAACAATTCCTCAGAACACTCCCTAAGATATAAGTAATAGAAAATGCAATATCTCGCCGCAGAGCCAATGGGTCGAGTCTGTCACAAAGACGTTGATTACCAATGATTCAGGCTGCTCGGTTCTGAATGCGTATTCTTTTCAAATAAATGTTATACATGTTTACAATAATACAGATACATTTTTAAAATCAAATTTGGGAGAATAGTGTCTACCAGCAATATGTGATAAGAAGGAACAATAAGTACAGTACATTAAAAATGTTTTACAAAAGGCGGTCTTATCGCTATTAGTAATCTCTTACAGGCAATTAGTTTATCTGTACGAAAATTAGAGACAATTACAGAGGGGATATACTTTCCACCGAGGGGGAAATGTAACACCGACGTTACATTTCCCCCTTGGTGAAAAGTATAAATTACCATAAACAAACACGCACCTATCAGGTTCATGTCCTCTACAAGCGTAGGTAAGCCTCGTAGGTCGCCGTATGCCACCTCCAGCGAGCCAAATGTCGCCGCGGGCTGCGTGAGCGACCAGGTTTGGTGTTCGTGGAAACATGGCGGGCGTTAGCGGAGCACCACCGCTTGTGTTGAGCGACCGGGGTACTAGAGGAGGCGACTGGAAGAGACCGTATTTTTTTTATTGAGGGTTTCGGGCTATTTTCAGGTGCTAAGACCTGTATAGATCTATTGTGCCCACCCGCACGCTGCTAGTTCGCTACCTATTCGAACCCGTCAGGGATACGAATTGAATGATATACAGTGTCCATCTTTGTAGGGACATTCCCATATTCCGTATAAAGTTTCAAATCTAATATATAAAATTGTCGTGTCATATGGTTTTGTGTTTATACTCCTCCGAAACGGCTTCATCGATTTTGATGAAATTTTATGTATATTCAGTAGGTCTGAGAATAGGTTTATAACTAATTTTTATATCTCTGTATAAATTGTCAAAATATTTTTTTATTCCTATTTTTTAATTGTGTGGCATTACAAAATACATACAAACCTAAATTTTCACCCTTCTATCACCAAACCCTATTTTTTACAGCATTATTAATTTATATGACAAAAAAAGACATTTGCCGAGACAGCTAGTGACTTATAAAAGTTAAAGATAACCTGATTAGCACCCTCTTCAGCGACGAACAATGATGATGCACATGGAAACAAAACACGACCAGTCTTAGCGTGGAGTTCATATGATGCTATGCCCCATGCAGCCACCCGCTGGCGTTCCCACAACAGCTGCTCCTCGCGAGACCACTTCCCTGATGACACACCCAGTGTGACAGCTACTAGGAGAGGTTTCCAATCTAATCTGTAACAAAGTAATTGTTAAATATGTCTGTTATTTGTAAATATTGTTTATTTTAGTCATCCTTCTCCTTACTAATATTATAAATAGAGGGATAGGAGTTTGTTAGTAATGCGGACTGATGATTCATCATGATGATGGCCAACAATGTGCCATGTCAGGTTGACCTCCATACCCCCATGGAAAGCATTGTGACAAATTCCTGGTGAATTTATCATGAGGGGATAACTGACCTGACCTCATGTTCATCTTATTATCCTCCACTGTTGCCCCACTAGCATAAACCGTTAGCACAGGTGGGTGCACCATTCCATTAATATCAATACAATTATAAATATGAAAGTAACTCTGTTTGTCTCGGTTTTACACCAAAACTACTATACCAATTCAAATTAAATTTGGTACACAGGTAGTCTGGATCCTGAGAAAGGATATAAGCTACTTTTTAATGCATAAAAAGGGATGTAACGACTTAATAGGGGAGATGAAAGATTGTATGAAAGTACTATCTTTTTAAAGCTAGAAGCGTGAAATTTAGTTTTTAGGCTGTAGATTGAATATCAGTATTTCCAAGGAGGACTATTTGGATTTCTACCTGACATGTTACATTCCTAGCTATAGGATCACCATTACAAATAAACCCTTCCCCCTCCCTCTAGGTCTAATTAATCTGATTAATATTATAAACGCACAAGTTTGCGAGTATGGATGGATGTTTGTTACTCTTTCACTCAAAAACTACTTTACAAATTTTGATGAAACTTTACAGTAATATAGATTATATATATGAGACTAACACATAGGATATAAATTTCACATGGGTGAAAGGGGGCACTGCTAGTTAATAATAAAAATAATATATATGGCCAAAGTCCTATTTCTTTTTATCTTTTGTTATTGACCATTTTTGTTCAAGAAATTATGATGGGTTAGGTAATTCTTTACTTTAGTGCCAGGACAAAGGTTGTATGATTTAGAATACTAAAAATGACATACAAAGTAATAAAAAAATATTTAAAAACTTTCCATATACAAAAACAAATTAAATTAAAACTTGGATACATAACTTTTTTTATACACCCAAGCGAAGCCGAAGCAAGATCCTAGTAATACAATGGAACTAACCTTGCATTGTTTGGCTGGTTAGATAGAGTCAAATCTGTGTACAACAAAGTAATCTCCAATCCATTTTGCGGCGTCTTCAGGAAGTATATCCTCGTCTTTCCGTTACCAAGCTTCCTGAATGATATAGCCATTGGTACCATGGCGGATAAGGAAGAAAGTTCCTTCCGCAAGTCATGGACGGCTTGCCGCACTTCGGTCCAGGTATACCGCTTGGAGGGAGGCCTGATGTATTCCCCAGCCGCGGCACCGTCTCCAGCCTCCCTCACCTCCATATTCACAATATCCATTAAACTGAGACTCATAAATAAATCAGGAAATTTACATGATGAGAAAGATCTCAGTCGACTACTTTCTATGTATCGTTTAATTAGTTAACTAATTAGGCAAATATATATGCATAAGTCCCATTGTAAAATATAATTACGTGACTATCTAATATTTGACTACAAAAGCAAACAATTCTTTGACTTTTGCCAAATGGCTGGCTGTCGCCGATCAGCGGGTCGCCAACAAATCTTCCGTGTACCACTATATACTACTTGCGTGGAAAGTCGAATATTACTCGCCTCAAAATATTGTCTGTCCTCTTCTAATCTAGAGAAATAAATAAAGACAAATGCATTGCGTGTGAATTTATTTTTATAATGGGCTCTTCTTTTTTTTGATAGAAATAATGAGATCGGATACACACAATTTGCTTTGTTAAAAAAATAACGAAACAAATATGTCTGTACAATATAATTTTGTATCAGAATTAGGAAATATGAGTACGTACTACATAATATAACTATAATCTATAAGATTACAAATTGTAAATTGTCCCAATTAAGTATTTATTATTATTATAATTTTAAATCATACACTTCAAAAGTATCTGAACGCTACATCCAACATAATAAAAATACCCGAGTTCCAAGGTGCTATGGTTCCGTATATATTATTGTTATCATTCCCTTAATGCAAGCCAAATAGATTACATTTGCAATATAATTTAATTTTCTTGATACTTCCTTGTAATTTATATAGTATTAATTAAATTTATATTTAATTTTGTGTATTTATTTGTCACCTTCGTTGTATAAAAAAAATCAGGTGAGCTTATTTTTATAAGACCTTTTCGCGAAAACCCACCCTTGACAAATAATTTAGTGATTACTGCATACACTATACTAACTTATTACTTAACTGTGCCGCGAGCTGAATCTCTGTATACACTTACGATAAGCTTCGTTTAGTACATAGTGAACGGAACTCCAAAAAATCAGAGATGTGATTTATTTATAAGTTTTCATTGTGTTTTAAAAGTATTTTATTTTTCTATCAACATTTCAATTATTGAGCACAATAGATAACGACCCCTAAAAATTACCTTCAGTTATAAACATAGTGATTATTTACTCTTTTATTTACTGACTCTATGAATGAACTGGCAACCGGATATGAGCAATCCAAATGTATATTTTCAATTCCTCCGCAGTTCCGGCAACAATTGCCGCCGAGCTGTCAATCGTCGAATATGTCTCTCTACCTATAGTATTCGCTTCGTTGTTTTATTTTCACAAACACGTATTCTAAAAATGGCACCAGTGTTAAATATATTGCGGACTTGTGGTTTAATATATTACCTAATTTTGAATGTGCGCGCTGTTGAAAATAATAAAAGTGAACCATGGATACATGAGTTAGAAGTGTTAACAAAAAATTGTTCTGAAAATGTATGTAAATATTTACTAAAAGTGAAAGGGGGTGAGTTTCTCGGTCATTATTCGTGGAGATTAACCCCCGTGGGTGGTGCTAGAGGTGGTAATTGTGACGTGATTTTCCCAAATTACGAATTACGGGAATTGGAAACATCACGGTTGTATACTGTGGTAAATATAACAGTACCTGATGAAAGTGGCAAAATATATTTCTGTTTACATTATTATGAAGAGAAAAATAGTCCATTCGGTGGCAGGTGGGCTCACCAAGGTGATGCCATATATTTGGACGCTAAGAACGTTGATAGCGCACGGAATAAACAAGAAATAAAGTAAGTAAATAAAACGTTAAATTAATTCTTATTAAATTAATATTTACGTTAATTGATATTATTATTATTATTTATAGTATTTGCCAATATATTACATTTATAAATATATTATTTACTATTTTTAGTAGCCTTTTTCCATGGCTTAGCTAATTTTAATAAAATTCTACATCAAAATAGAATATTACTAGATTGGAAGTGATACAGAGTAATAATAATAATTTTATAATATAGTGCTAATTTACTTAATTAAAATCAACACACTGTTGATATATCAAGTATTATATGGATCACAATGTTGTCAATTTATGATGCATCTAAATACCTCATAACGGTTAAGTATATTATTATAAAAATTAATTAATTTTTGATAATATTATTATTATTACAGAAAAACATTTTTAGTATGTAAATCGGACTGAATGAAGGCATTGGTGTATTGTAGAGTAAATACCTTATCAATAGTGATATATCATAATGGGTTGAGCTCCATGTGGCTTCTATAGGAAACTATCATGATGAATTTCTAGTAAATTTACAATGATTCTAAATTTTTTAATGCTTGAGCCATTAAAAAAAATTATAATTACAATGGCTCACAATGGAAACCTGTTAAAAACCATAATGTATTATAACCTTTATTCTGTTATATAATTAACTAGCAGACTCATTCGACTCGACTTGACTTCGTCTGCACCACACTTATGACATTTATCATTATATATTATACATATATATTATATATTTTAACCAATTTACATTATCATTTATTATTATAGCTTTAACATTCACATACTTCATTTATATAGTATAAAATAAAGTCACTGTTGCTGTCTGTCCGTCCCTATGTATGCTTAAATCTCCAAAACTACTCAATGGATTTTGAAGCAGTTTTTTAATAGATAGAGTGAGTCTAGCAGAAGTTTTATATATATATGTATATATAATACATGTACACCCGGGCGAAGCCGGGGTGAGTAGTAATACATATTTTTCTAACATATAGTTATTATTTTTGGGTTATTTATTTTTTCTTTCCTTTCTGTTCCTCACTGGAGGTATAGTTCTCTCTCGTCAACAGTCCCACAACCAATCTGTTAAAGGCTTGGTAAGCTGATTGCAGGATAAAAATAAACAAAAAAAAAAGATTTTTTCTTATTATGTAGCCCCCTTGAGAAAAAGCCACCTCTATATTCTGCAGTATTTAATATCTTTTAAAATTGTAGCCTATGTGTTATTCTGAGGTATAAGCTTTATTAAAGTTTAGATATGCAGTAAGATGTAAGATAAGGAAATGGACTAAAGACTGGCATCAGAGATGGAAAATGATAATAAGGGTGACAGTGTTTGTGTGAATCTCAAGAGGTGCGTGGATGTAATCGTTGTAAATAATTATAAAACAACAAGTTGTAAATGAAATCATCTATACATATAAATAAAATTGTAGTGTCTGTTTTCAATATTGAAATAACCAATTTTTACTATGTGCATATAAATATAAATACGGTACATACACCAAAATAACTTTTTTTTCCAATTTCTGTCTGTCTGTTTGTTCCGGCTAATCTCTGAAATGGCTGAACCTATTTTGACGGGACTTTTATTGGCAGGTAGCTGATGTAATAAAGACTTAACTTAGGCTAAATTTATTTTAGAAAAATAAAGTTAAAATTAAATTCGCGCGCGGAGAAGTCTTGCTATATTTGGCGGAGCAACTGCTTGTTTTTTTTTGAAATAGAAATGTATAAAGAATGTAAAACAATTGTTTATCTATACTTATGTATATTATAAAGCTGAAGAGTTTGTTTGTTTGTTTGGACATCGTAATCTCAGACACTACTGGTTAGAATTGATAATTTATTTTTGTGTTTGATAGTCCATTTGTCGAGGATGGCTTTAAGCTATATAACATTACGCTACGACCAATAGAAGCGAAGCAACAGTGAAAAATATTGCAAAAACAGGGATAATTATTCATTATTGGAGGCATCCGTTGCGTGCGCTGTGTAAACGGTTCTAGTTACCCCACGCGAACGAAGTCGCCGGCACAGCTCCATCCATAATACTGTTTGGGACTGGATGGCGCTGTTTGAATTATTCAGAATTACAATTTTTTTTTATTTCAACAGGCAAAACCAACAAATCAACAATGGAGCGCAATGGAGTGATCTGTCTCACGATACAGACATTAATTACCTCAATCCAATACATAAACCTACAAAGACTGCACTAGGGAATGTTAAAACAAAAACAAATTTACATATAAGTGATAATAATAAGAATCTCGATGATACATTAGATAAACTAAATAGTATAGACAAACAAACTGACAAATTAGTTGATAGAAGTAAACGGAGTGTAATTAATAATATATTTGAAAGTGAAGATAATAATAATGTTAAGAAACACGAATTAGATAATCTAATAAGAGCTGATATAAATTTAGATAAAGAATATAATAGTAAACTTTTTGATACATACATAGCTATAGATAAAATAATACATAAAGATACAACAGTAGTACATAAACGTAGGAAACACAATTCGAATGGTACAAATTTTGTTACAAATATTGATGATAATAATGTATTAAATAATAATAGACAAACAAAAGGAATTGATAAAGATTTTATTGAAAACGTTAATGATAAAGATGTAGTTAATGTAAATGTACCACGTGTACAAAGACAAGCTATGTATCCGGAAGCAGTTGAATTTACTAATGTAAGAGCTGCTCCAATGGTTATTAATGTGGATGGTTTGAGGATTGAGGATTCGGAGAAGGAGCCTAAAATTACAGAAGATGGTCTTCCAAGTGTACTGGCTGATACTGGAGTTACGCTGAGGTGAGTGATTGAAAAAAATATTTTTTAGACTACGAATAAAACTAGGTTTATTTAGTACTTTGACAATTTTTTCGAGAAGATAATTTTTGCGGTAGTCTTGCACTCTTTCTGGTTGAGTTGAATTACCCAGCTAAATAAGGAATAGAATAGAATAGAAAATTATTTATTCAAATAAACTTAATTTAAGCACTTTTGAATAGTCAACATTTTTTTAAATCTACCGGTTCGGAAAGCTCTCACAAGAAGAATAAGCAAGAAACTTGTGTGTTGCTCTTTTAAACAATCCTTGTAAGTTCACATTTTACAAGTCGAAACGTGTGAATACAAACTACCAACCAGCACTAATTTATTTATGCTCAAATATAAAAACACAATAAGATTAAATCAGTCGTAGTGATAAGAGCAGACCAGTCCCTACAAGCAGCACTCGTTCACGAGTATGACGGATGAGCCAGCCATCACTGCGCTCGACTATATTTTAGGGAGCCCAATGACCCGGCCCACCACGCCGCCACATGTCTGGACATTTTAGTGAGCATGACTACTCATTCCACTCGACCACGTCACAGCTACAAAAATTACTATATAGTAGTTATGAACAGTATTCGCACTTTACATGAGGATGCATGCGGCAATCAATACAAAAGCCGCTACGCTACCATATATCAAGAAAGCAGTATGAAAAATAAATTATAACATTGTCCGCAAATAAACTTATAATTGCTATATATTGCTATCATCTATAAATTCATCTATCCTATAATAGGCTTTTTTACATAACATTTGTTTAATATAAAGTTTGAATTGCCTCTCTGTCAGATTTAGCGTAGATTCTGGCAGTTTATTATAGAATCTTACGCAATTACCATAAAATGAATTACTAAGGGGGAAGGGAATTGTTAGTAATGTGGACTGATGATCTCATCGCTAGCAATGTACCATGTCAGGTTGATCTCCACGCGGTTCTCCCTGGAAACCATCGTGATATATTCCTGGTGAATTTACTACGATGTACTAAATGACTTCACCTCATGATCCTCTTATCATCCTTCACTGGTGCCCCGCCAGTGTATACCGTTAGCGCAGGCGGGTGCACCATCCCATTATCATCCATAAAAGAAGCAGCGAAGGAGAGAATGGGATTATTAGTAATGTGATTAAGGAACTCATTGCTAGCGATGTACCATGTCAGGTCGACAAGATGGTTCTCCCTGAAAGCCGTGATAAATTCTTTATAATTTGTCACGATGTACTAACAGACCTGACCTCATGCTCTTATTATCTTCCACTGGTGCCCCGCCAGCGTAAACCGTTAGCGCAGGCAGTTGAAGCATGCCATTATCATCCATAAAAAATAACCCAGCGAAATGTGTGTCAAGAGTTGTGTTCACAAAGATGGTTACCTCTTCCTTTCATTCTCATCCTATCATCCTCCACTGGTGCCCCGCCAGCGTAGTCCATTAGCACAGGTAACACAGCGATGCATCATTCTAAATTAACAATTGTAATCGTGAATAAAAATGTTTGTACCGCGCAAGGAATCGTATCCACAACCAGCGGAAGTAATGCGGCGTGCAAACCACTGAATCACCCTGGTCGTCATTATATGACATTTGAATCTTTTTCTGGAAGATTTAGGATACTGGCAGTTTTTTGTGAAATCATAACTGAGAATCAAGAATTTTTAGTTCGAATAGAAAGAAAGAAAAATATATTTATTTGGCGCAAACTAAAAATTCACAGCAAACATATATATAATATAATAAAGCCATTTATTCTGAAATTTACAAATATTTTTAACTATATTGCCAACTTCTTCTTTTTTTTTTATAATATATCTCTAATTTCAGCGTGCCTTTTGGCATAGGCCTCCTCCAGCGACTTCCATTGACTCCTATCCTGTGCAACTCTTCTCCATTTTGTGCCCACAGTTGACTTCAACTCATCCTCCCATTTCATCATCTGCCTTCCCCTCTTTCTCTTTCCTTCTCTAGGATACCACTCTGTTATTTTTCTACTCCAATTTTCCGTAGTTTCTCGCATCATGTGGCCAGTTCATCACCACAGCAAACATATAACAAGCAAATAACATGGATAATATTCTAAACGTAGTTTGATAATTAACTAGCTGTGTCTGCGGTTTCACTCGCGTGAAACTTATAACCTAGTTATTCTGATGTATAAGCTATATCACTGTAAAGTTTCAACAAAATCCGTTCTGTAGTTTCTGTGTGAAAGAATAACAAACATCCATACTTACAAACTTTTGCGTTTATAATATTATTAAGATTAAGATTTTAGATGTTTTTTTTTCGGACTACTCTAATGCTGTTGGCCGCAGCTGGCCTTTACAGCTTCACCGGACGATAGGGGGCGAGTGCAGATGGCACTCCAAACCAAAGGATGGACTTATGGAGCGGCTGAAGGCCAACTCCCGCCTGATGGATACAACTATATCTATGTGACCTTTTTAAGTGTCAAGACAGTGCGAAATTGCGATGCCCGACCGATCGATTATAGCCAAGGTCAAGTTGTCTACACACGCAAATATCTACTTCAATATTATTATAGGATCGTCGTAGGTGATATTATAATAACTAGCAATCCGCCCTGGCTCCCACTGGACACTGCAAATTGAATTAACTCTTGACAAAATCCTCAGTTTAACAACAATTTGCAGATTCTGCCAATGCGAGAAAACTTTTTTTTTTACTTTAGTCATTTGTGAAGTAAAAAATTTTTTGGGAAGCTTCTTTTTGCGGAGCCCCGTATAATTGATACGGCAGATACGACGGTAGCTACGCACCTGGTTCTATATCTACCTAAATGTATATAGCGGCATAGTAGGTGATATAATAACTAGCAGTCCGCCCCGGCTTTCACTGGACATTGCAAATTGAATAAACACATGAAAAAATTAAGCCTCAATAACAACAATCTTCAGATTCTGCCAAGCTGAAGAGGAAATGCATCCTATGCAGAAGTGTAGCGTGCCTTAGTGGGCTTTCTTAGCCCCGCCCTTAAGAAGGGTAAAGATAAAAAATAAAAGAAATATTTATTCATCATAATTATCTGAAGGCATTGGATGCGAGCAGCGCAGGACCGAATAAACATAAAAGAAATATTTATTCATCATAATTATCTGAAGGCATTGGATGCGAGCAGCGCAGGACCGATCGTCGTGGAGATCTTTAGGCCTAAGTCCAGCAGTGGACGTCTTCCGGGCTGCGATGATGATGGTGATAATTATGTATTTGTAATTGTGTATATGTCACTGTTTCCAAAATGTTTACAAACAATTCAAATTAAATATACACTCTCCTTGCCTTTTTTTCTGTAAACTAATTTATTAAATCATTTATAGCTGATGAGAAAAAAAAAAATTGCTTTTTTGTGTTTTGTCATTTGTGAAATAGAAAAAATTGGGAACTGAAATTTTCCTTACGCACATTGATCGGCCTTCGTGGCCGGGGGGGGGGGGGGGAGAGAGAGGGGGGGGGGGGGCGTATTATAGATATGGCACATACGGCGGTAGCTACGCCCCTGATCCTATTTTCTACCTAAATGTATAAAGCAGCATTCTAGATAATATTGTAGTAACTAGCACACGCTCCGCCTCTCACTGGACACTGCAAATTGAATACATTACAAAATTAGGCCCCATCTTAACATACAAGAAAGGACCCATACACATCCTATATACTTGTTTAACTTTTATACTGTTCGACAACTTTTAGACTTGTAACGTATTTATTTGGATAAGGATTAATATCTGATCTGGTCTGGACTGGTCTGCTCTTATCACTACGACTGATTGAATCTTGTTGCATATTTATATTTGACCCAAAAAATTAGTGCTGGTTGGTAGTTTGTATTCACACGTTTCGACTTGTAAATGTAAACTTACAAGGATTATTTAAAAGAGCAACACACAAGTTTCTTGCTCGTTCTTCTTGTGATGAGACAGCCTTCCGAACGAGTGGTAGATAAAAAACAAATTATGACTATTGAAAAGTTCCTAAATTAAGTTTATTTGAATAAATGATTTTTTATTCTTTCTATTCTATCATGTTTATAAAACACCTTCGCAAATTATGGATTATTTTAGAACGACGGCCTCGGTGCTCTAGCGGTTTAGCACACCGCATTACTTCCTATGGTCGCGGGCTCGATTCCTCGCACGGTGCGAACATTTGTATTAATGAGTGTGATTGTTTGTATCGGTCTTATCTCGGTATTTTTTATAATAAAAAACGTATTTAAGTAATTCTATCAGTTGTCTAGTACCCATAACACAAGCTCTACTTAGTGACTAGATGGCTCTGTGTGAATTGTCCAGGATTAAATGAATCAATGAAACTCTGTTGTTACTCTCACAGAAAATACAGTTACATACACTATTATGTATAAAATGGTAAAAAAGCACAGCATAAGAGACAACAAAGAGGTAACAATGGGCGGCCTTATCGCTAATAAGCGATCTCTTCCAGGCAACCTTAGGATGGAGAGAAGTGATTAGATTAGGGTTGGGCGGCCTTATCGCTATAAAGCGATCTCTTCCTAGCAACCTTAGGATGGAGAGAAGTGATTAGATTAGGGTTGGGCGGCCTTATCGCTATAAAGCGATCTCTTCCTGGCAACCTTAGGATGGAGAGAAGTGATTAGATTAGAGTTGGGCGGCCTTATCGCTATAAAGCGATCTCTTCCTAGCAACCTTAGGATGGAGAGAAGTGATTAGATTAGGGTTGGGCGGCCTTATCGCTAAAAAGCGATATCTTCCTGGCAACCTTAGGATGGAGGGAAGTGATTAGATTAGAGTTGGGCGGCCTTATCGCTAAAAAGCGATATCTTCCTGGCAACCTTAGGATGGAGGGAAGTGATTAGATTAGAGTTGGGCGGCCTTATCGCTATAAAGCGATATCTTCCTGGCAACCTTAGGATGGAGAGAAGTGATTAGATTAGGGTTGGGCGGCCTTATCGCTAAAAAGCGACCTCTTCCTGGCAACCTTAGGATGGAGAGAAGTGATTAGATTAGGGTTGGGCGGCCTTATCGCTAAAAAGCGATATCTTCCTGGCAACCTTAGGATGGAGAGAAGTGATTAGATTAGAGTTGGGCGGCCTTATCGCTAAAAAGCTATCTCTTCCAAGCAACCTTAGGATGGAGAGAAGTGATTAGATTAGGGTTGGGCGGCCTTATCGCTAAAAAGCGATCTCTTCCAAGCAACCTTAGGATGGAGAGAAGTGATTAGATTAGGGTTGGGCGGCCTTATCGCTAAAAAGCTATCTCTTCCAGGCAACCTTAGGATCGAGAGAAGTGAGAAGTTGTTATTATTATTATTCTTGCAGATTATTCGGCGAGGGATTTACCTCCAGGACTGTGATAGCGTTCACCAACTACGAACAGGAGTACGGGCAGCAGTGTAAATTCATACTCAAAGGTGAATATGTGGTACGTATAAATTGATGATGAAGTTTATGATGAGTGATGAAATATGACATCCTCGGTAGTCTTTGATCTTACATATTTCAATTTAAATATGTACTGTTACTACTAAATTTTTTAAAAGAATAACACCCAAGTTATAAAGTCGTTCTTCTTGTGATGAGATAGTTTTCCGAATGAGTAGTAAATTAAAAATGTATTAAAAATAGCTTAAATGTAAGTTTATTTGAATAAAGAATTTTCAGCACGCCGCCTTACTTCCGATGGTCGTGAGTTCGATTCCTCGCATGACACAAACATTTGTATTCATGAGTATGATTGGTTGTATCTATCTGGGTGTTTTCTATGTATAATATGTATTCATTTACGAAAAAAACTATGTATTTGTATCAGTTAGCTAGTACCCATAATACAAGCTTTAGCTAGCTTAACTTAAGTCTAGATGACGCTGTGTGAAACGCTGCTGTTGTCCTGAGATTATTATTATTAAAAAATGTACCAAAATTTTTTTTATGTGGCATTAAACAATATTCCTAAATTTTCATCTTTCTGCCACCAACCCCTATTTTTTATAACGATATTAATACTTTATTTTATGGCAAAACGTTTGCTGGATCTCCTAATATATATATAACTAGCTTTTGCCCGCAGATTCGCTCGCGTTAATTTATCCCCTTAGGAGTGGAATATATCCGATCCGTCTAGTGGTTTGGGCTGTGCGTTGATAGATCACTATGTCAGTCACCTTTGAGTTATATATATATATATAGATTAGCTAGAGTATAATTAAAGGTATTAAATATCTTTAATTATACTCTAGCTAATCTAAATATATAATACTATATATATATATAACCTCTTGTTAAAAAGAAGACTTAAATGAAATATTTTCCAGGCGAAAGAAGGCACGGTCACAACAAAATCGGCACTTTTCGAGATCTCAGCGCCACCTCCGATCAGCGGCTCCAAATTGTACTTATGCATAAAAAATTTAAAGCCAGGAGTTATTGACATATCCAATGACGAAGATAAATATATACATCAAGGGACAGACCCTTGGAAGATCTTGGCGACTCACAACAAGTTGCTTCCACTATGGGCCACGTTCATCTTGATATTGATATGCCTGATGTTCTCAGCTCTTTTCTCTGGTCTAAACCTGGGTCTAATGTCGTTGGACCGTACAGAATTGAAGATCATATCGAATACAGGCACAGAGCAGGAGAGGAAGTACGCGAGAGCTATAATGCCAGTCAGAGATCACGGGAATTATCTACTTTGCAGCATTCTGTTGGGAAATGTGGCGGTGAATTCGACGTTTACGATACTTTTGGACGAGTTGACGTCTGGACTTTTTGCCGTGATATTTTCGACGTTGGCTATCGTGTTGTTGGGCGAGATTACACCCCAGGCCATATGCTCCCGGCATGGATTGATGGTGGGAGCCAAGAGTATTATGATTACCAAGGTGAGTAAGAGATCATGATTACAATATCAGCCAAAACGTAGTTTATATAATTTCTCATGAATTATTGCCAGTTAGCCAAATGGCGGTCCTCCACAGTGCGGTTTTCTAGAAACTTTTTACCATGCACAACCACATTGTGGAATCACCTTCCAGCAATGGTATTTCCGAACCCAGGGCCGGCGCAAACGGGCATGCGGGCGCCTCGTCGAAGGGGGCGCCATCACGAGATTTGGATATATATATACTATAGTTTTATTAAAATATAGAATCTATAGAATACTTAATAAATTACAATAAATAATGTAACTTAACTATGAATGCGAAAACATTAACCACACTAGGATGAAATTTGCATGCGGGCGATGAGGACCCTAGCGCCGGCCCTAGTTCGAACCGATACAATATTGAAATCTTCAAGGAAAGAGCGTACTCCTTCTTAAAAGACAACGCACTTGCAATTACACTGGTGTCGCGGGTGCTAATGTGCGGTAATCGCTTACCATCAGGTGAGCCGCAAGCTCGTTTGTCCTCTATACTATAAAAATCAATTGGTAGTTTGTATTCTCGCTTCTCTCATACGGCTAATGCTAGTTCTGAAGCCACAGAAATACTAAAAGGTTTGTTATTGTCTTGAAAGTGTACCTATTGTATAAATAATATTGTAACGATCCTTTTGAATTAAATAAAGATTATTATTCACACATTTCAACTTAAAAATGTAATATTACAATTAAATTATTTAAAAGAACTACAAGCAAGTTCGTTGCTCGTTCTTCTAATGGGATAGCTTTCCGATAGATAAAAAAAATAAGTATGACTATTCTATATGTTCTTAAAAGTTTTGAGTTATTTTTGAATAAAGAATTTTCTATTCTATTCCTACGGCCTCGGTGAACTAGCGGTTTAGCACACCAACTTACTTTCTGATGGTTGCAGGTTCAATTCCTCGCACGGTGCAAACATTTGTGAAAGTTTTACGTTATTTTTTAATAAAGAATTTTCTATTCTATTCCAACAGCCTCTGTGGACTAGCGATTTATCACACGGACTTACTATCCGACGGTTGCAGGTTCAATTCCTCGCACGGTGCAAACATTTGTAAAAGTTTTAGGTTATTTTTGAATAAAGAATTTTCTATTCTATTCCAACAGCCTCTGTGAACTAGCGATTTAGCACACGGACTTACTATCCGACGGTTGCAGGTTCGATTCCTCGCACGGTGCAAACATTTGTATCGTTTTAGATAATTTTTGAATCTCACTTTTACCATTTAATGTCCAACAGCCTCTGTGAACTAGCGATTTAGCACACGGACTTACTATCCGACGGTTGCAGGTTCGATTCCTCGCACGGTGCAAACATTTGTATTCACGAGTATGATTGTATGAAATTTCTTTCTCTATCTCACTTCTTACCATTTAACGTGTGTAGGCGGTGATGGCTCTGACGGCACCCATGGCGTTCCCAGTCAGCAAACTCCTGGACTACTTCCTGGGTGAGGAGATCGGGAGTGTTTACAACAGGGAAAGGCTTAAAGAACTCGTTAAGGTTTGTAATATTGATATTCTGCATCTATTATTTATTTATTTATACTCTTTATTGCACCAATTACAGAACAAAAAAAAAAAAAACAAACTGGAAAATATACACTGATACAAAAGTCGGTCTTATCGCTAAACAATCTCTTCCAGACTACCTTTAGGTGGATAGAGAAATAAAAATAAATATATAGGACTCAAATATACATAAATATAAACATATATACACAAAAGTGCTTAATTAAGTTTATTTGAATAAATGATTTTCTATTCATATTCTACATAGCCCAAACAACATATATATACTAAAAAATAGTGCACATTTGGAAAGAATAGAGGAAGATCTGCCAAACTGAAGAGGAAACATACATCTAAAATTCTCGTATCACAGGTCTCGTGTTTATTATCCCCACTCATGAAATTTTATATATATATATATATATATATATATCTATGTTTGAGAAAGTTTTACACTTTTTTCCTAAGAGTGCTCACTACAAAATTTTTTTTTTTTAATTTTTCTATTTTTTGTATATTATGTATTGAAAAATATATACAAAAAAAAAGTGCCTATTTTTTGTATATGTATCAGTTCTTCCAGATAACCCGAGTAGAGAATAACGATAAAAACGAAGCATAGTATAATATATATAAAAAGTATGGAGATAAATATTTTACACTTGAGTCTAGATGGCGCTGTGTGAATTGTCCTCGACGGTGCAAACATTTGTATTTATTATTATTTATCTCTCTTTTTTATGTATAATATGTTTGTATTTACAAAAAAATATATATCTATGTATTTTTGTTAGTTGTCTAGTACCCATAACATAGCGCCTAGATGACGCTGTGTTATATATCCTAAGATTATTATTATTATAATTTACTTTTTTATGTATATTATGTATGTATTTACAGAAAAAAATCCTAAGTATTTGCATTAGTTGTCTAGTCTAGTTTAGTTGTCTAGTGTTATGGGTACACAAGCTCTGCTTACCGTGGGTCTAGATGGCGTTATGTTAATTGGTCAGGGATATTTTTATTGTTATCTTACAAAGCAAGATGCTTAGCGGCTGAAATAGGTGAAGCTGAGGTACCAACGCAGCCGACTTTTTACACTTTTGCTCTTTAATCTTTCACTTCCCAAATTTCATAATAACAGTTATGTTTAATCAACAATTATTTTAAGAAAGATGTTACAAATGAATGTGGATGGTTATAAGGGCAGAGGAAGGCCAAAAAAGAGATGGATGGACTGTGTGAAAGATGATATGGTAAGAAAGGGAGTAAATAACGCGATGACTGCGAACAGGGATGAATGGAAGCGAAAAACATATTACGCCGACCCCAAATAAATGGGATAAGGATGAAGCAGATGATGATGATGATGATGATGAGTTATGTTTAATCAACAGGTTACAACGGACGTGAACGATCTGGATAAAGACGAGGTGAACATCATATCAGGAGCGCTGGAACTGAGGAAGAAGACTGTGTCCGACGTGATGACGAAGTTGGAAGACGTGTTCATGCTGCCAATCACCTCTATACTGGATTTTGAGACGATGTCGGAAATCATCAAGTCAGGTCAGACAATGTTCATTTCTTGACGGGCTCGCTTTACACTATCTTGTTTTTCTATTTACAATGGTAAAACTATATGGACAAAGTTCCGTTTGCCTTGTTTCTAAAGAATAAATAGAACAGAATTAAAATACAATGGTAAATGATCTGATGGTACACCTGATGGAATGTGACAACAATCATAGACAACACGTCGTCATGTTAAACAATCATGTATATTAGGCATAGTGCAGGTGTCTGCATAATAGCCAGCATGACACATGCGTTGCCATTCCTAACAACGTATGAGTGGTACAGGTGTCATGACAACACATGAGCCCCTCCGATCGATCCCCCGTCCAATTCAAACGGGGATCGATATTACGACGGCCTGAGCCGAGGTACGAACCCCTAGTGGTGACCTCAGACTAAAGTCGTATCTCTCAGGCGGGAGTTGGCCTTCAGCCGCTCCATAAGTCCTTCCTTTGGTTTGGAGTGCCATCTGCACTCGCCCCCTATCATCCGGTAATGCTGTAAAGGCCAGTTGTGAGCTACACAAAATTAGTGCAGGTGAAACCGCAGGCACTGATAGTTGGTTGGTTGTATAATAAGGAGATACTAAGGTACCCAGGCAACTTTTCTAGTATATAAAGCGACACCTTTATTGCACTTAAATACATTTGTAAGTATATTAATTACAGCTAATGTTAACAAAGGAGGACTTATCTCTAAAAGAAATCTCTTCCAGTCAAACCAATAGAGCGTGGCACAGGAAGTGTTGAGTGGGTTAAAATGTGCAAATAATATTTTTTATAAAAATGTCAAAAATAATTAAGTATTACAATCTATAATAATAATCTCAGGACAATTCACACAGCGCCATCTAGACCCAAGTTAAGCTAGGTAAAGCTTGTGTTATGGGTACTAGACAAGTGATAAATACATTGTGCATAATGCAACTTTTTATATGATAATTATGTATATATATATTTATTTATTTAGTTTCGGAAAACCAAGGCTATTTACAAACTTAGTTATAAACATAATTAAATGAGAACGGCCACTTACAGGTTTTCACGGATAGAAACGTAATATAAAACAAATTACAGTAATAACACGAGAGGTGTGTATGTGTCATAAGTACATTTTTGTGTCATAAAATCATATATCAAAAAATAACAATCTACTAAATTAAAACATATGCTGAAACATTTTTAAATAATGAATTATCAATCAAAGAATTGCCTGCTCATCACGGCCCTCGCTAAAGATATTCCATCGGAAAACAAAGCAATATTTATATATATATATATATATATATATATATATATATATATATATATATATATATATATAGTAATATATACATTTTAAGTATTTTAGGCTTGATTCCATTTTTATTGTCAATTTGAAATACATGTCTTACCATCAGCGACCGTAGTTTCTCTTCGAACTAGAAATAAAATATAAAAATGTACAGTCCTTAAGAAACATTAGTCGTTAAAATACATAGATTTTTTTTTCCTAAATACATACATATTATATATAGAAAACAGACTACTCATGCATGAACGAAATATCTCCTTTGGAAAATATACACTCTATCCTGACGAGATAAAAACCATCGCTCCTAAGAATATTCTTAAATTTTTGTCCCTGACGGGCCTAGGTAGCGAACTTTGAAAAAGGGCGAGCAAAATAGATCTATGTAGGTTGAAGTTTTACAGGTCTTAGCAGCTGATAATAGCCTAAAACCCTCAATTCAAATTCAGAATATATTTATTCATGTAGGTCTATTACAGACTCTTATGATATGTCAAATCTACCGTCAGTTCGGAATGATTTCGAGATGAGAAGAACTGACAAGAAACTCAGTTCGTATTCTTTTCAAATAAATGTTGTACATGTTTACAATAATACAGATTCATTTTTAAATTCAAATTTGGGAGAATAGAGTAACCACCAGCAAATGCTATTGCAAAAGCAAAAGTCTAATCAGTGTTCGTAACCCGAACAGACCAGTCCCCACCAGCAGCACTCGGTCACGAGTATGACGGATGAACCAGCCATCATTGCATTGAACCATATTAAAAAATTAACTGATTCTACAGTTCATAGTTATAATTTATATACTGCTGACATGTATATCTATATTTGTGCTTTCTATTTCGGACTGTTCGTAAATTGGATCGGTGCCAACAGTGCTTCATCATCTCAACCCATATACAACCCAATCCGACGGCCTTGACGCGTCTCGACGCCGTGGCGTTATGCTATTTTGTTCCATTACGGAACCGACGCTAGTTGTGACGTCTGTGGAAATAGAAATAGCTCCTCATTCATAAAAAAAAAAATATATATATATATACTGTCACTTTCTTACAAGTTAGGAAATTAATGGGAATGAATGAGACAGAACTGTTTTAATATATTTAACGAGCTGTGCCATGACTTAGTTTGCGTGGTTATCAAAAACACTTCATATTTTTTGGGTAACATCAACCTTTTACGCAGCGCATGCAACGGAAGCCCACAAATATGTTTTTGCAATATTTTTCACTGATGCTTGGCTCCTATTGGTCGTAGCGTAATGTTATATAGCTTAAAGCCTTCCTCGACAAATGGACTATCCAACACAAAAAAAAATCAATTCGAACCAGTAGTTCCTGAGATTAGCGCGTTAAAACAAACAAACTCTTAGGTTTCTGCGCGAAGTCGCGGGCACAGCTAGTATAAGATAGAATGAGCATGAAATCAGGTCAGTTAGCCCATCTTGGCAAATGACATTACTGGAATGGTTTCCAAGATGAACCACGTTGAGGTCAACCATGGTACATTGTCAGTAATGGGGTTATTACTCCACATTCAAATTCAATTTGTCAAATTAAAAAATCATTTATTCAAGACAACTCGCTTATGAACGTCAAGTTTTTACATTATAATTTTTTCCCTACCGTCGAGTATAGATCCGATTGAGAAGAACTGGCAAGATACTCAATTGAACGGTACTTTTTTTTTAAAAAATTTTATGTAAAAACTTGTATTTATATAAGTGTCTATGTCTAACATTAAATGAAAATCCCGAACATGAAAACTATTGCCATGCACGCTCGTCATTCAAGTAATCGTTTAGTGAGTAATAGGCCTTGCTCAGTAAATATGATTTAACAGATGTTTTGAATTTATTTAAGGGTTATTCCAATATATCCTTTGGTATCTTATTGTAAATTTTTATACCTATTCCCATAAAAGACCTATTGACTTTTTCTAAACGATACTTAGGGACAGCAAGTTTGTCTTTAAATCTAGTATTAATATTATGAATATTGCTGTTTTTTTTAAATAAGTCAAGATTTTTATGAACATATAGGATATTTGAATATATAAATTGAGAAGCAACGGTGAGAATATTTGCCTCTTTGAATTTCTTTCTTAATGAGTCACGACTCTTCATACAGTAGATCGCATTACTAACTATCCCCCACCCCAGACCATTATAGCCGCTTAGAACGTCAAGTTGTTAGTATACACATTTTTTTCCTTTCCATCCAGTTCAATAATAATAATAATAATAATCTCAGGACAATTCACACAGAGCCATCTAGACCCAAGTTAAGCTAGCTAGAGCTTGTGTTATGGGTACTAGATAACTGATACATATACATAGATTTTTTTTGTAAATACATACATATTATACATAGAAAACAACCAGACCGATACAAACATTCATGAATACAAATGTTTGTGCCGTGCGAGGAATCGAACCCGCGACCATCGGTCGTAAAGCGGTGTGCTTGACCGCTAGACCACCGAGGTCGTCATTACAGATTTAATTAAGAAATGGCAAATATTTTTTTTGTTTACTAGCTGTCCCGGCAAACTGAAAAAAAAAACTGATCTCGCAAACTTTGTTTGCCAGATAAATTTAAATCGCTATTAAAAAATAGGGGTTGGTGATAGAAGGGAATTTGAAAATTTATATGTATGTATTTTTTAAAGCTACATAATAAAAAATAAAAAAGTTCTGTCCAAAACAATAAAAAATTAATATTAGATGGACAACCCTTATCACTTAGGGGTATGAAAAAAGATAGTAGCCGATAACTACTGAATAATATATAACTTTAATTAATAATATAATACTTTACATATAAAATTTCATAAAAATCGGTCAAGCCGTTTCGGAGGAGTATGGTAACTAACTTAACTAACTAAAATGTGATAAATTCATGGTGAATGCTATTATTTTATCACCAACCCCTATTTTTTAATAGCGATTTAAATTTACATTGCAAAACAACATTTACAGGATCAGCTAGTTATTATTATATTTTGAGTTCATACATTACTAACCGGCCGTGTACTCATAAGTTAGTGAGTTTTGTATATGTTAACGTAATATATAGCCTACGTCATTCTGATATAACTAATGTTAAAAACAGGGAAAGTATATTTTTAAATTTAGCAAGTGTTTTTTGTATTTATACTTTACTAAAATACATAATCAATTCGTCAAATTCAAATTAAAAAATCATTTATTCATGTAGGACATTTTAGTCGCTTATAAACGTCAAATTTTTTATAATTATTATAAATTTTTCCCTACCGAATATAAATCCGATTAAGAAGAACTGGCAAGAAACTCAATTGAATTAGTTTTTTTTAAATATCTTGGATATTTGCAGGCCGTTTGCTTGATTGCCACCAACTAACATTACTCCTTACGTTGGTAAATATTATAATGTCCTAACAGACATCTCAATATTTACAACTTAACCTGTCTTAAGAACAGGTGGCATGTTTGGGATTTTTTAAATATATTATACTAGTTGTGCTCGCGGTTTCACCGGCAGGAAATTTATAGCCTGTTATTCTGATGTATAAACTATGTTACTGTAAAGTTTCATCAAAATCCGTTCAGAAGTTTTTGCGTGAAAAAGTAACAAACATCCATCCATACTCACAATCTTTGGCATTTATAATTTTAGTAAAATTTATAAGTGGCTGAACACCCTCGGTATTGTTTTTGACTTTGACTTTACACTGTACACTTAGAAGGCTGGTCGATATTAAAAAATAAAAACATTGACAGCGTTTTTTTTGAAGTCGGTTAAAGGTGGCAACTCTTGCAGGTTATTCCCGCATCCCGGTTTACGAGGGCACCCGCGGAAACATAGTGACGGTGCTGTTCATCAAGGACCTGGCGTTCGTTGACCCCGACGACAACACTCCCCTGCGGACACTCTGCCAGTACTACCAGAACCCCTGCAACTTTGTCTTCGAAGATGTCACGCTGGACGTGATGTTCAAGCAGTTTAAGGATGGTAACTATTTTATTTATCTAATATCAAGTACCTAGCGTTCGATGGCTTTGACAACACTGTACCCTTAGTACACTCTGCCAGTACTATCAGATAAAAACATTGACAACTTTTCTTCGAAGATGTCACGCTGGACGTGATGTTCAAACAGTTAGGGTGGTAACTATTTCATTTATTTATTTATGCAATATCAAGTACCTGGCGTTCGTTGACCCCAACAACAGTCCCCTGGGTACACTCTGCCAGTACTACCAGAACCCCTGCAACTTTGTCTTCGAAGATGTCACGCTGGACGTGATGTTCAAGCAGTTTAAGGATGGTAACTATTTTATTTATCTAATATCAAGTACCTAGCGTTCGATGACCCCAACAACACTCTCCTGGGTACACTCTGCCAGTACTATCAGAACCCTTGCAACTTTGTCTTCGAAGATGGCACCCTGGACGTGATGTTCAAACAGTTAGGGTGGTAACTATTTCATTTATTTATTTATGCAATATCAAGTACCTGGCGTTCGTTGACCCCAACAACAGTCCCCTGGGTACACTCTGCCAGTACTATCAAAACCCTTGCAACTTTTTCTTCGAAGATGTCACGCTGGACGTGATTGTATTGATTAAATTATCTGTTTTTGACAAAATTGCAATAGCGTATGCTGGTGGTCACTCTATTCTCCCAAATTGAATTTAAAATTGTATCTGTATTTTTGTAATTGTGCAAGCTTATTTGTTTCTGTGACGGCCTCGGTAGTCTAGCGGTTTAGCACACCGCTTTACTTCCGATGGTCGGGGGTTTGATTCCTCGCACGGCACAAACATTTGTATTTATGAGTATGATTGTTTGTATCGGTTTCGGTGTTTTCTATGTATATATTTAAAAAAAAACATATCTTTGTATTTATATCGTTTATGTATTAACACAAGCTTTCCTTAGCTTGGGACTAGATGGCGTTGTGTGACTTGCCTTGATTATTATTATTTTACCTATATATTTCCTTCTATTATAATTGCTAAATGTTCTATTATAAGTACCGGATGAGTGGTGGAATCAAAAACTGTGCTTATATTAATCTGACAAAAGTGCTTATATTAACTTTATTCTGATAAAGATTATTTCTATTTCTATTCCTATTTTTATTATAAACAAATACATCTATCAACAGGTCACAAGGGTCATATGGCGTTCGTCCACCGTATCAACAACGAGGGTGAAGGGGATCCGTTCTACGAGACGATGGGGCTCGTCACACTCGAGGACGTCATAGAAGAAATGATACAGGCGGAGATCGTCGATGAGACCGACGTGTTCAGTACGTTAATCGAGTTTTTTTTGACGGCCTCGGTGGTCTTGCGGTTTAGCACACCGCTTTACGTCCGATGGTCGCGGGTTCGATTCCTCGTACGGCACAAACATTTGGATTCATGACTATGGGTGTTTTCTATGTATGCATTTATGAAAAAAAATCTATGTATTTGTATCATTTGTCTAGTGCCCATAACACAAGTTTTAGCTAACTTAATTTGGGTCTAGATGGCGCTGTGTGAATTGTCCTGAGATTATTATTATTATATGTTTTTGTACATCCCTTTTTACGGGTTCAAACACGCGGGCCTTAGCCAAGCGTGGATGATGCATGTGATGACGAGAATTTTCCTTACAATACAGCATGTTTCTGGAATGACGGCAATTTTGTAATTCTTTTTAATATTTTCTTTCTCTTCTTTTATAATTTTAAAATACTCTGGGCTTCACTCTCACTGGGCTTAGCCAAGTGTGGGAGAGCTTGTGCTGCGTGAAGATATTATTGAGGTCAAGGTCAAGAATTTTCGATTTGTAATGATTATTATTATTAAGATGCTATTCGTGATTAAAAAACTTCCAACAGTGGACAACCGGACGAAGAGACGCCGCAACCGCCCCCAGAACAAGTTGCAGGACTTCGCTGCTTTCGCGGAGCGCCACGAGAACCAACGTATACACATATCGCCTCAACTCACGCTCGCCACGTTCCAGTTCTTGAGTACCAGTGAGTTTTATATTTTTTTTTATAGCGTAAGGACAAAAGAGCTACAAATACAAATCTATAAAATTGATGTATCCGTTTATTAAGGGCTGCTGCGGCCAATACCATTAGACTAGTTCGAAAAAAAGCGTGTCACTAAAAGCATGTTGACAGGATCGGTGGTGAGAGGAAACACACAGTAGGGTTAGAACTTATGTTGTTATGTTTCACCCCCGTTAAATTTCATTATATAAATTTTAATAAAAAATATAGTTATAGTCTATATGTCATTGTGATGCATAAGCTACATTACAGTAACGTATCTGTAGTTACATTTAGATAAAAACTTAAGAAATTTCTATTTGAAAATCAAATTTCCACTGTATAACTGTCCGTACTGTATTGTACTATCTACGTATAGTATTTTAATTTCCATACATTATCATAGCATAGACTTACTAGGTGTAAGTCTATGCTATCAGAAGCACCAACAGGGCACGCTCACGCAGGCAGCAGTAGGTACACAATTTTTATATATTAAATTATTTTCTACAAGGTTCCACTGAAAATCAGCGTTTGGACATTACAGCCAGACACAAAGCTGAGTGGTTACAAATTTGGTCGCAGCTGTATTTTTCAAATAATTAGTTATAATTTTTGTAATATGTTGTATGATTGTTTGGTATGCGTCAAATAAATATATTTTTCTTTCTTTCTAAAGTTTCATCAAAATCCGTTCAGTAGTTTTTGCGTGAAAGAGTAACAAACATCCATACTTTCACATTCATAATATTAGTAAGGATTAAACATTACATGATACTGGCACAATATATTATCCTACGTCATCATCATCATCATCATCATCGCAGCCCGGAAGACGTCCACTGCTGGACATAGGCCTCCCCCACGAAGATCTCCACGACGATCGATCCTGCGCACCCAATGCCTTCCAGCGATCTTGACCAGATCGTCGGTCCACCTTGCTGGAGGCCTTCCCACGCTACGTACTAAAATATAATTACTACATGACATATGTATATAAAAAAAATCTATACTCTCTGTAGTCAGAGTGAAATTATTTGATTTGATTGGTTGTCATTTGTTTTCCAGGCGTGGACGCGTTCAGGCCTGACACTGTCTCGGAGACTGTCCTCCGTCGTCTGCTGCGTCAGGATGTGATACACTACATTAAGCTGAAGGGGAAGACCAAGAAGGACCCGAGCACGTATGTGTTCCAACAGGGCAAGCCGGTACGTAATGACTTTTGAATGAACGGATTGGTTGGTTGAATGAAATTGTAGTATTGAGCTATTTGTTGAGTGAATGAAATGAATGATTAAACCGTGGCAGAGTGTCTTGCCGACCACAGAGACAATTTATATTTAAATTTTATTTTATACTAGCTGTTCCCGCGACTCCGACCGCGTGGAATTTATTTTTATACTTTTTTTTATGTAAAATAAAAGTAGCCTAAGTATCTCCTTATTAAATCTGCTACCTGTCAAAAAAACTCGCGTCAAAATCGGTCCAGCAATTTCAGAGATTAACCGGAATAAACAGACAGACAAAAATTGTAAAATATGTTATTTTGGTGTATGTACCATATTTATATACATATGCATGTAGTAAAAAACGGTTATTTCAATATTACAAACAGACACTCCAATTTTATTTATATGTATAGATGTCTATAAGGTATTTATTATATGGGCGATTGGTAGTATTAAATTTATTATAATGAATGAAATAAAAGATTGAACGAAATGAGCGAATCAATCAATTGAATTAAATAATAAAATATATAAATAAAATAATATTATAACGGAATGTATGTATACGTATATATACTTTTTTTTTATATAGTTAATTATTATTATATGTATGTATATATACATAAATATACATGATACGTCATTCTTTGTCATTTTTTAATATGAAATGAAATGAAATGAATATTTATTGCTTAAAATGTGGTACATACGTGGTTTTTAAGGTCTTTAGAACTAATTTCACACATTTTGTCATTTCTGACATGCAACAGGCAAAACAGATGTCAATTTTGGTTATTATTCGTTAGTCAATATTAAGTACGTACATTATTTATAATATGAGTATGTCAACTTCGTATTAATGAAATATTTATAAATTATACATGTCAATGTTTTTAATTAAGTAAGTACTTCTGAACACTGTAGTACGATTTGCTGATTAGCCATCTATGTAGTTCTTTCTTGAATTTATTTCGACATAAATTTACAATTTCCCATTCGGTGTCGAGACCCTTGGTCCGTGGGGTCCTAGCGCTATAAGACTTTTCAAAGAAATAACGAAAAGGTTTGTCGACATCACAGAAGACCGAAGAGCTGGCAGCTACCTTGGACAAAGAATTAGTCTAGCTATTCAAAGAGGGAACGCTGCCAGTATCTTCGGAACGTTGCCTAAAGGGACCCCTTTTTATAATATATTTTAGTCATCATATTATATTTATATTTTTTTTAATCTTTTTAATTTTAGGTTCTTAGTTGTACAATTAGGTTATGTAAATACTAGTAATAAATTATTTCACTTGGCAATTTATTATATATTTTAATTAATATGAGAATACATATGAATAGATACACAATGTAATTAATCTAGACACGCGGTAGCGTGTCAAGCCGAGTTTCAAGTAACTGGCTAGCAGCACCGTGTGTATATTTACACGAACCATTTGGAGCCACTTTTGACCCCCTCATAACTCAAAAACCCTTTCACATAAACCTATCAAATTTGCGAGATAAACATATGTTCCAAATTTCATAAATATATCTCGAACGGTTGTTTAGATATTAACGTCCAAATATCGTCATTTTTATCACTGATCAACTATAGATCAAAATTATAACCCACTTTCAGATGACCTAGGAAGAACTGGCCAAGTTAGACCTTAGGCTACAGTATATTATCCTAAGTTATAAGAAGAAATTATATTATATATTGTTATAAATACATTTCAGGACATACCATTGAACTTGGCACCCATTTAGATCTCACCTCTTTTGTCGTAGAAGTCAACAATCAAGGCATATATCATAATATTAAACTCGGCTATCATTTCACATTTATGTTTTTGATGGGTATAATTCTACCCGTTCTCTACACAATATTGTAGTCGGATTCAGACGATCGCGGTGACGCTCGGTGTCACATATAAAATAAGTGCGTGCTCTCAGTTGCGATAATAAGTCAGTGTTTTAGTTCCATCCTGTACAGGTACTCACTGCCCATTCTGATTGTAGACCGTTTGGCCTCGCTTTCCTGCGTAAAAAAATATTCGCGAAAGAGCGTACATGTAAAGGTAGTTAATGATGATGTCCAGGTGGACTACTTCGTGCTGATCCTGGAGGGCCGCGTGGAGGTGACGGTCGGTCGGGAGAACCTCGTCTTTGAAGCTGGACCCTTCACGTACTTCGGCGTGCAAGCGCTCACGCAGAATATTGGCGTTGGTGAGTGGTATATATCCATTGTTATATATATACGCTTTACTACCGCGGTGGTAGGTGGTAGGTGGCTTTACTATGGTCGCGGGTTCGATTCCCCGCACAATACAAATATTTGTATTCATGAGTTTGATTATTTTTATCGATCTGTTTTTTTTTCAAATCTAATTATGTAGCTAATATATATTGTACTAGCTTTAGCCGTGGTTTCACTCTCGTGAAATTTATAGCCTATATGTGTTATTCTGATGTATGAACTAAGTATATTATTTCAAAGTTTTATTAAAATATATTCAGTAATTTGTACGTAAAAGAGTAACAAACATCCATACATTCATCCGCACTCACAGATTCCGCGTTTGTAATTTTAATAAGATATGTATTTACAAAATAAAAACTTAATTATTTATATCAGTTGTCTAGTACCCATAACACAACTTTGAGCTAGCATATCTTAGGACTAGATGGCGCTGTGTGAATTGTCCTAAGTTTATTATTATTATAATATTAGTAAGATAAATATAATAATTTACAATACAACAGCTGAGTCCCCGACCCCGTCGGCCATGGGTTCCCTGCAGAATATAAACATGGACTCCATGTTACGTCACACGTTCGTGCCTGACTACTCGGTGCGTGCCATCGCGGAGTTACACTACCTCACTGTCAAACGGTAAGCATGCAACAACAAACTACTGTCAGAATAGAATAGAAAAATTCTACACTACCTCACTATCAAACACGTGAACTCCATGTTGCGTCACATGTTCGTTCCTGGCTACTTGAGGCGCGTCATTCTCATCCTCACTGTCAAACGGTAAGCATGCAACAACAAACTACTGTCAGAATAGAATAGAATAGAAAAATTCTACACTACCTCACTGTCAAACGGTAAGCATGCAACAACAAACTACTGTCAGAATAGAATAGAATAGAAAAATTCTACACTACCTCACTGTCAAACATGACACAAAGACTCCATGTTGCGTCACACGTTCGTACCTGACTACTCGGTGCGCGCCATCGCAGAGTTACACTACCTCACTGTCAAACGGTAAGCATGCAACAAACTACTGTCAGAATAGAATAGAATAGAAAAATTCTACACTACCTCACTGTCAAACATGACACATGGACTCCATGTTGCGTCACACGTTCGTACCTGACTACTCGGTGCGCGCCATCGCAGAGTTACACTACCTCACTGTCAAACGGTAAGCATGCAACAAACTACTGTCAGAATAGAATAGAATAGAAAAATTCTACACTACCTCACTGTCAAACATGACACATGGACTCCATGTTACGTCACACGTTCGTGTCTGACTACTCGGTGCGTGCCATCGCGGAGTTACACTACCTCACTGTCAAACGGTAAGCATGCAACAAACTACTGTCAGAATAGAATAGAATAGAAAAATTCTACACTACCTCACTGTCAAACATGACACATGGACTCCATGTTACGTCACACGTTCGTGCCTGACTACTCGGTGCGCGCCATCGCGGAGTTACACTACCTCACTGTCAAACGGTAAGCATGCAACAACAAATTACTGTCAGAATATAATAGAATAGAAAAATTCTACACTACCTCACTGTCAAACATGACACATGGACTCCATGTTACGTCACATGTTCGTGCCTGACTACTCGGTGCGCGCCATCGCGGCGTTACACTACACTCACTGTCAAACGGTAAGCATGCAATAAACTACTGTCAGAATAGAATAGAATAGAAAAATTCTACACTACCTCACTGTCAAACATGACACATGGACTCCATGTTACGTCACACGTTCGTGCCTGATTTTACTCGGTGCGCGCCATCGCGGAGTTACTGAAAATACTCCAGTAGTGTCGAAAACTACCTCACTGTCAAACGGTAAGCATGCAACAAACTACTGTCAGAATAGAATAAAATAGAAATAAAAATTCTACACTACCTCACTGTTAAACATGACACATGGACTGTCATGTTACGTCACACGTAAATCGAATACCTGACTAGGAACGAGGCGCGCCATCGCAGAGTTTAGTTCTCACTGTTAAACGGCAAGTCTCATGCAACAACAAACTACTGTCAGAATAGAATAGAATAGCAAAAACTACACTACCTCACTGTCAAACACACACACACTCCATGTTACGTCACACACACACTATACTCGGTGCGCGCCATCGCATAGTTACACCACAAACGGTAAGCATGCAAAACAAATTACTGTCAGAATATAATACACATTCACACACACACTGTCAAACATGACACATAGACTCCATGTTGCGTCACACGTTCGTACCTGACTCTGATGAGGCGCGCCATCGCAGAGTTACACTACCTCACTGTCAAATTTTAATAAGCATGCAACAACAAATTAGAGAGAGTGTCAGAATAGAATAGAATAGAAAAATTCTACAACTTTCACTGTCAAACATAACACATGGACTCCATGTTACGTCACACGTTCGTGCCTGACTACTCGGTGCGTGCCATCGCGGAGTTACACTACCTCACTGTCAAACGGATAAGCATGCAACAACATATATGTGAGAATAGAATAGAATAGAAAAATTCTACACTTATACCTCACTGTCAAATATTTGACACATGGATTGTTGCGTCACATTCGTACCTGACTACTCGAGGCGCGCCATCGCAGTGTTACACTGGGGACTCACTGTTAGAAAACGCCATAAGCATGCAAAAACTAAAATACTGTCAGTAATAGACATAGAATAGCTACCAAAAAAAATTCTACACTACCTCACTGTCAAATATGACACATGGACTCCATGTTACGTCACACGTTCGTGCCTGACTACTCGGTGCGTGCCATCGCGGAGTTACACTACCTCACTGTCAAACGGTAAGCATGCAACAACAAACTACTGTCAGAATGAATAGACACACACACACACACACACACACACACACACACTCACACACACACACACACACACACACACACACACACACACACACACACACACACATGGACTCCATGTTGCGGACCAAGTTCGTGTCTGACTACTCGGTGCGTGCCATCGCGGAGTTACACTACCTCACTGTCAAACGGTAAGCATGCAACAAACTACTGTCAGAATAGAATAGTCTCGAAATGTAAAAATCTACACTATCTCACTATCAAACACGTGAACTCCATGTTGCGTCACATGTTCGTTCCTGGCTACTTGAGGCGCGTCATTCTCATCCTCACTGTCAAACGGTAAGCATGCAACAACAAACTACTGTCAGAATAGAATAGAATAGAAAAATTCTACACTACCTCACTGTCAAACATGACACATGGACTACTTGATACCTAAAACGATCCAGTCACACGACTCGGTGCGTGCCAGCGCGGAGTTACACTACCTCACTGTGACAAACTGCTGTGCAGACAAACTATTGCGTCAATAGAATAGAATAGAAAAATTCTACACTACCTCACTGTCAAACGGTAAGCATGCAACAACAAACTACTGTCAGAATATAATAGAATAGAAAAATTCTACACTACCTCACTGTCAAACATGACACATGGACTCCATGTTACGTCACACGTTCGTGTCTGACTACTCGGTGCGTGCCATCGCGGAGTTACACTACCTCACTGTCAAACGGTAAGCATGCAACAACAAATTACTGTCAGAATATAATAGAATAGAAAAATTCTACACTACCTCACTGTCAAACATGACACAAAGACTCCATGTTGCGTCACACGTTCGTACCTGACTACTCGGTGCGCGCCATCGCAGAGTTACACTACCTCACTGTCAAACGGTAAGCATGCAACAACAAACTACTGTCAGAATAGAATAGAATAGAAAAATTCTACACTACCTCACTGTCAAACATGACACATGGACTCCATGTTACGTCACACGTTCGTGCCTGACTACTCGGTGCGCGCCATCGCAGAGCTACACTACCTCACTGTCAAACGGTAAGCATGCAACAACAAACTACTGTCAGATGGACAGATATATATAATTCGACTAGCTGTGTCCGCGACTTCGCCTTGACCAAATAAAGAACATATATTCAATAATCTAACCCAAAAACGCAGAGAAGTTTCATCGTTATAGCTTCAAAAATGACGGTTGCAAAAGAGTCATATTGCAGCTATAATATCAAAAGTTGTATGGATGTATCGTCATTTTTGAAGCTAGAAGCTTGAAATAAATTTTTTGGCTATAAATTGAATATATATTCCCTATATTATTTGTTACTAAGTTTGTAGAAAATGTGGTAAAATAATATAAGGGTGAATGTATGGAAATACAAAATATCCTATTCATTTATATTTAATCAACAGCCTAAAAAATAAATTTCAAGCTTCTAGCTTTAAATATGACTATACTTCCATACAACCCTTCATCTCCTCTTTCAACCCCTTTTTTCAAATTAAAAAGTAGCCTATGTCCTTAGGGTCTAGACTATCTATGTACCAATTTTCATTTAAATCGGTTCACTAGATTTGGCGTGAATGCGAGACAGACAGAGTTACTTACGTTAACATGCTCACCGGTGGGTTACTCCAATACGAAAGTAAGTTTACACGTTGGGACCGGGTGATCACCCATGGGCACTTACATTAAAATAAATCGAGGCGTTAAATAATGACTACCTCAAATTATTGTACACTAAAAACATATTTAAAAAATAATATACATATAGATTTATCAATGCGGTTTTCAACGTGTTAAATAACTATCTGAACGTTCCCAGGTCTCTGTACCTGGCTGCAAAGCGAGCCACGCTGATGGAGAAGGGGGCGCTGTCCAAGGGTGCCACCAACGAGCAGTTCGATACAGAAGTAGACAAGGTAAGATTTTTTTATATACCATAGGGTACAAACGAGCTTGCGGCTCACCTGATGGTGAGTGATCACCACCGCCCATAAGCACCCGCAACTTCAGGGGAATTACAAGTGTTGCCGACTCAAATAAACTCTTTTCTTGATGGAAATATGCCGAATGCCGAATATATATGTTGAATATACCATACTAAATATAAGGTTGGGAAACACTGGACTAGTGGCTCTTATATTTTTTCACCCCCTTCTCTTTTCCTTCCTTAATATCTCTCCTCCCCCCCCCCCCCCTTAATTCCTCATAATTCCTTTCCCCTTTACAGCACCTCTGTCGCTCATCGAGTGCCAACATACCCATAGCTATGAGAAAGTTACTAGTAAAGTCTGCCAGTACTGCTTCGACGCGCGACGTCGATTTCGGATCTACTTCCACTGTTAATAAGGTTCATTTTAATTTAATATGTAGTTTTATCAATTTAAAGCTTAGTTCTTAGGAATAAAATGTTATATACAAAAAAAGTAATTCAATTGAGTTTCTTGCCAGTTCTTCTCAATTGGATCTATATACCGAACTGGACGGTAGGGAAAAAATAAAATTATAATGTAAAAATTTGTTTATTTTTTGAATTTAAATGAATTTGAATCGATTTTAATTTATATGGCAAAATAACGTTTGCTGGGTCTATATATAATAAAATATTATTTTTCATTATATACGTCATTCGTCATTCGTCCAACTCCATTAGCCAAACTTCCAACACTAAACATTGGACAAATGATCACATAACCTCAAAATGTTTGGTAAATTCAAAGACTACATGTCGCGACGCTTGCGATAAATATTGGAACACAGTTTCTAAGTCGTTGACCAATGATTTGCATAAAAATACGTTGAACCATAATGAGATGTTTGCAAAATCTGTGCCTAATACTTGCGACATATCGTCCAAATGTTCGACACTTGAAAAGATGGACTTGGACGCAAATGTTTGCGACGGGGTAGCTAGTTAATAGAATAGAATAGAATAGAAAATCATTTATTCAAATAAACTTACATTGAAGCACTTTTGAATAGTCATTACATTTTTTAATCTACCACTCGTTCGGAAAGCTGTCTCATCACAAGAAGAACGAGCAAGAAACTTGCGTGTTGCTCTTTTAAATAATTTTATTATTACTTTACATTTTTAAGTTTAAGTGTGTGAATACAAACCACCAAATAATTCTATTAAATACTCAAATAGAAATAATATTGAATATATAACCAACTGGTTAAACAATTAATAAGAGGAAATCAGTCATAGTGATTAGAGCAGACCAGTCCCTACAAGCAGCACCCGTTCACGAGTATGACGGATGAGCCAGCCATCACTGCGCTCGACCATATTTTAGGGAGCCCAATGACCCGGCCCACCACGCCGCCACAAGTCTGGACATTTTAGTGAGCATGACTACTCAAAACACTAGACTACGTCAAAGCTACTTACAATTGCTATCTGATAGTTATAGTATTCACATTTTACATAAGAATGCATGCGGCAATCAATACAAAAACCGCTACGCTTTCATATTTCTAAAATCAATCAATTAAATCAAGAAAGCAATAATAAAATGTATATAAATTATTTCAGTTGTCTCCAAGACTGAACATAATCGAACTAATGCAAGTCTCTCCTCAAAATTACACTTCATTAGAAAAGATAGAGGCCAATGCGTGTGGCAAACATTCGTCTAACTCCATTGGCCAAACTTCCAACACCAAACATTGGACAAATGATCACATAACCTCAAAATTTTTGGTAAATTCAAACACTAAATGTGGCGACGATCGCGATAATTATTGGAACACAGTATCCAAGTCGTTGGCCAATAATTTGCATAAAAATTGGTCGAACCACAATGAGATGTTTGCGAAATCCGTGCCGAATACTTGCGATATGACGTCCAAATGTTCGACACTTGAAAAGATGGACTTGGACGCAAATGTTTGCTACGGGGTAGCTAGTTAATAATAAAATGTATATAAATTATTTCAGTTGTCTCCAAGACTGAACATAATCGAACTAATGCAAGTCTCCCCTCAAAATTACACTTCATTAGAAAAGATAGAGGCCAATGCGTGTGGCAAACATTCGTCTAACTCCATTGGCCAAACTTCCAACACCAAACATTGGACAAATGATCACATAACCTCAAAATTTTTGGTAAATTCAAACACTAAATCTTGCGACGCCTGCCATAAATATTGGACCACAGTTTCCAAGTCGTTGACCAATGATTTGCATAAAAATACGTTGAACCATAATGAGATGTTTGCAAAATCTGTGCCTAATACTTGCGACATGTCGTCCAAATGTTCGACACTTGAAAAGATGGACTTGGATGCAAATGTTTGCGACGAATGTTTGAGAAATGATTTTTGGTTACGCAAGAAGAGCGTTGAGAAGGTTAACGGTTAGAGTTTATTGATTTTTTTTTAAATAATTGGACTCTGTGGATTTTGGCCCTTCCTCCGTCGTACCTTTGATAAAGTTTGCGGGTTCGACGCCTCGCACATGGTTGTTTAATGTATTTTAAAACGTAATTAAATAAAATATTAGGATTTTGCACTTCTTTCCTATACTCTTATTTCATTACTAATATCATAAATGCGAAAGTAACTTTATCTGTCTCGCTTTCATGCCAAATCTACTGAACCAATTTAAATGAAATTTCATACAGAAATCCTCTAGAACCTGAGAAACGACATAGGCTACTTTTTAATGCGAAGAAAGGGTTCTAAGGGGTTGAAAGAGGAGATAAAAGTTGAGAATGAAAATACTTCCAAATATACTTTCACCTACCCTTTCAACCACTAACAACCCTATTTTCGCTTTTCTTAAAAAGTAGTCCTTTCAAACCTTTCTCAGGGTGTAAACTATCTGTGTACCAAATTTCATTTAAATCGGTTCAGAAGTTTTACCGTGAACGTGGGACAGACAGGCAGACAGAGTTACTTTCGCATTTATAATATTAGTAAGCATTTCTGCTTTACCTATAATATAAATAAACAGATACGGAACGAATTAAGAAAAAGAAAACAACCTTCCATACCGACTCCTCCCTCCTGACGTTCCACGATCCGAACGACTCCGACCGAAATTCGATCGACGGTCACGAATTCGAACGAGACGCAATCGATTATGATTATGATGCCGAACGGAAACGTAATACGGATGAACTGATTCTGATGAGGTTGAACAAGATCATCAGTTTGTTGGAAAGGAAGACGTGAGGCCGTTGGTTTGTTCATTTCATATGTCGGTATGGTTATTTCTAGACTTTTTACGTTTTTATAATTATACTTAACTAGCTTTTGCTCGCGGCTTCGCTCGCGTTAATTTAACTCTTTAGGGGCAGAATTAATCAAAATCCTTTCTAGGGGATGGCTACGAATTAATCAGCCCGACATCCCCTTAGGGGTAGAATTAATCAAAATCCTTTTTTAGCGGATGCCTACGTCATAACATCTACCTGCATGCCAAATTTCAACCCGATCCGTCCAGTGGTTTGGGCTGTGCGTTGATAGATCACTATGTCAGTCACCTTTGAGTTATATATATTTAGATTTTGTTATGTCTCAGGACAATTCACACGGCGCCATCTAGGCCCAAGTTAAGCTAACTAAAGCTTGTCTTATGGGTACTAGATAACTGATAAAAATACATAAATATATATACATACGTATTATACATAGAAACCACCCAGACCGATACAAACAACTCATGAGTACAAATGTTTGCACACTGCGAGGAATCGAACCCTTGACCATCAAAAACAAAGCGGTGTGCTAAACCTCTAAACCACCGACGCCGTCAAAGATATTGCAATGAAGTTACAAAGAACGACACGACACAGTCTTCCAAAATGCACGAGTGATAGTGAAATCATTGGTACTACTCGTGATTACCACTTATCTTGTGTTATGGGTACTAGATGTGATGACAGGAGCGGTGGTGAGAGTAAACACACACAGTAGGGTGTAACTTGTATATTAACTGTTACATCTTGAATTACTCTAGCTTACACTAATTACATAAACTATATATATGACCAACTGCGTGACCTACGTGTCGTTATACAAAATGTACACTGGCACAATGTACATTTTGTATAACGTGCTGATTTGCATCACTATATCACAACTGATATAAATACATAGATATATATTATTGTAAATACATACATATACATAGAAAACATCAGACCGACACAAAGTGTTACCCAAGAATAGAAATGTTTGCACCGTGTGGGGAATCGAACCCGCGACCATCAAAAGTAGACCGTCTAATTGGGTAAATTCGGGTAAAAAATATTGTCTGTAATAATATCTAATGTAACTAAAGTCTATCTAATGTAACTAAACTAATATCTAAAGTATCTATCTAACTAAATAAAGAAATGAATATTAATAGGAAACTACATGACCTCATCCTCATCTTGTCATCCTCCACTGGTGCCCCGCCAGCGTATACCGTTAGCGCAGCCGGGTGCACCATTCCATTATCTATACATATAAATAAAATTTTAGTGTCTGTTTGTAATATTGAAATAACCGTTTTTTACTACATGCATATGAATATAAATACATACACCAAAATAACATTTTTTACAATTTTTGTCTGTTTGTCAGTCGGTTTGTTCCGGCTAATCTCTGAAATGGGTGGACCTATTTTGACGGTACTTGTATTGATAGGTGATGTAATAAAGAGTAGCTTAGGCTACTTTTAATTTAGAATAAAGTTAAATTCCACGCGGACGAAGTCGCGGGTACAGCTAGTCATCCATAAAAAACATATTGAGTGTATATTCTTGTTGCAGTTACTGCAATCTGTAGACGAAGATATCAGTATAAGTGGAGAACACAAGACACCGTCCAGACAGGTGAGACAGCCTCTAGAAGAATATAGAATAGAATAGAATATAATAGCAGAGAATTTTACTGTCTCTCGCAAATTGTCGGTTAAATAGAAAAATGTCAGTATTCAAAATGTATTTTTTTGTCTTGTCTTCTAGATAAGCATTTAAAGTTTTTAAATTTATTTAAATTATTTTTAAAGTTTTAAATTTACAGGGAAGTATTGTATCATTTTAAAAGTATTTAGATAATGATTAAGACGGCGTGGTTAATTTAATGACTTATATAAAAGGAGGCAATTCTAGATTCTTAATTATGAAAATAGTTATTTTTCTATTTAATCGACGAAATATTATTGCCATAAAAAAGGTTATAGTTATTACAAAAAAGATATATTGTCGATTTTTTTAGACCTTTTGAAGGAGAACAATTCCGTCATACATATTTTTTGCGAAACTTTAACCGTTTATTCCAAATCACTCCAAATTAGCACTGAAAGTTAACATTTTTTGCCACATTGCTGTTCCGCTCCTATTGGTTGTAGCGTGATGTTATATAGCCTATAGCACTCGGAGATAATGTACTTTTCTAACGGTGAAAGAATTTTTAAAATTGGATCAGCAGAACCGGAGTTTACCCCGTACAAACAAACATACAAACTTTACCTTTTTATATTAGTATAGATGTAACTGTTATCTTTATAACTACCCTATTTATTATTGTTATTGTTATATACAGGTGTCCCCCAACCCCCTGCCAGTGTCAGCGTCCCCCCACACGCGGGCTTCGTTCGTCTCCCGCGCCTCCCCCGAACCCCGCAATGGAGATCTGTACCCCGGAGCGAGAGCCGACGAGCAAGAGAAACTGTTGAAATAGTGACCGCCACCATCCGTAAGGATAAATTAGAACCAAGTTCTAAATTTAAAAGGACGCAAGTTCGAAATTTAAACGAACCATATTCGAAATTTATAAATTACTGATCACCGCCATATATGAGATTAAATTAAAAGTATGTTCCAAATTCAAAAGTTATCCCCAATTGTGGGTTAGTGTTGAAACTGTATTCTAAATTGAAAATTCATTGCTGCCATATATACATACATCTTATTGTATATAAATTATGAAATTGTTCCAAAATCAAAATGATCGCTTCCGTATTTATACTTGAATCATGTTCGAAATTCAAATTATAGCTTCCATATACTCGTGTGCATAAATTAGATTTTTCAAATACAAAAGCGATCACTAAATAAAAAGTGATCATTCCCAGTGTGTATATGTTTGAAACATATTCTAGATTCAAAAGAAGAACTATGTTCCTAATTCAAAAGTGATCACTGCCGTATGTGACATCGAATTAGTACTGTGTATCAAATTACAAAGTGATCATTACCAGTGTTTATTTCTTTAAAACATATTCTAAATTCAAAAGAAAAACTAAGTTCATAATTAAATATGTATCACTGCTGTATGTGTTAATTTATTAGAACTGTGTTCTAAATTCAAAAGAAGAACTAAGTTCATAATTAAAAATTTATCACTGCTGTAGGTGTTAATTTATTAGAACTGTGTTCTAAATTCAAAAGTGATAACTGCCGTATCTGAGATTGAATTAATACTGTGTACCAATTTAAAAAGTGATCATTGTCAGTGTGTGTGTTTAAAACATATTCTAAATTCAAAAGAACTCTGTTCCTAATTCAAAGTTCATCACTGTCCTATGTGAGATTAATATGTACCGTATTCCAAAATCAAAAGAGATCACCATAGTATGTTTCCATGAGGACCATATTCTAAATCCAAAAGTTGTCAATCGGCATCATGGAAACGAGTTCGCAATTTGAGAGAAACAGCCGCTGTGTGTGAAAGAGCCCTTATATTTTTATAAGGACTGTTTCACACAAAGCGACTGCGCCGTATTTTTTGCAGCTAGATTTATAAAGAAGTATAAGATGTCTGAATGAGTTCTTAAACTATTATATATATATATAAATTATATGAAATTCTAGATTTAAGAAATCTCCCAAGGAATGCAGCGAATGTTGTATGGGTAATATTGGATAGAACAATATTATTTTTTATTATTATTACAAGAACTAACTTCTCACACCCTTCCTTAGAATCTTTTTTTTCTGTAAATATATACATAGCATACATAGAAAACTCTCAGTCTGATACAATCATACTCATGAATACAAATGTTTGCACCGTGCGAGGAATCGAAACTGCGACCATCGGAGGTAAAGCGGTGTGCTAAACCGCTGGCCCACCGAGGCCGTCAAATATAAATAGTTAATATATATATATTCATAAAGCTAACCCCCCAGCAAAGATACGGCAGGAACTAGAAATGAAATTATTTTAATTTGCAGAATATAGTTTATAGTTTACAGTTTGATAAGGGTAATATTTGTAGCAACTGTTTAATTGCCCCAATTTATTAGAATGCCAATTTTTCAAATTGGCTATCCAGGTTCCTTCATGCAACGAAATATCTCCTTTGGAATGTATACACTATTTCCTGAGGAGATAAAAACCATCGCTTCTAAGAATATCCTTCAATTCTTGTCCCTGACGGGTCTAGGTAGCGAACTTTGAAAGGGCGAGCACAATATATCTTACAGGTCGCAGTATTACAGGTCTTAGCACTTGGTAATAGCCCAAAGCCTATTAAATAAATAAAAACCATCGCACCTAAGAATATTTATTTATTTAACTTTAATGCACACAATACAATATTATGCACACAGTACAGTACATTTGGCGTACTTAACACCATGCGGCATTTTCTACCAGTCAACCATAGGTGGTGCAGAGAATCATTGTTGGCGGTGCAAAATTATAAACGTAAACAAAATGCAACAAAATATAAACAGAACAAAAAAATATATACATAATATATCTATGCAACAAACTTAAATATATACCAAATAGTCTGACAGTCACAGAACTAAAGAGAGTTAATTGGAAAAAAAATGAGAACTCAGAGAAGAGAGAAAGTTATAAATTCAGATAATATTCCCGTAGTTTAAAGGAATATTCTTCAATTATTATTCCTCACGGGTCTAGCTAGTGAACTTTGACAAGGCGAGCACAATAGATCTATACAGGTCGCCGTGTTACAGGTCTTAGCATCTGACAATAGTCCCCATTAAAAAAAATCCAGGTACCCATACAACACGCGCGTTACAGTATAACCGTTATACAAGGAAATAGATAATAATTAATTATAAAGCACTGTAATATAGAGAAATAGAGTGCACTTAATAGATGTAAAATGAAATATTTATTATGTAAACATAAATTTATTATAAACGGTCACACATAAATAACGTCACTAGAATTTTAAGATGACTTTCCTGACAATGTGTGAGGAAGTTGATGAAGTTGACAAAGTGTGACAACTCAGTGTCACGCTTTGTCACACTTAATTTGTGACGTCATTTATGAATGGCCTAATAAGCAAGATATGGACGTCGGATGTTATAAAATAAATTTATTTATTTATTTATTTATTTATTTATTTTTAAGGATTACCAACATAAGATACAGCAATAGAAAAATTGTTATCATTCTATACAATTCTAATGTTCTTAAACTAACTGTTCTCATAATTATAGGTAACCACAGCATGCTTTAAGTTACAAGATTATGTCACTACTATTACAATGTCAATAAAATTAATTAATAAATTAAATTTAAACTTGAATGCTCCTAACAATAATACAATAAAACATATGTGACAAGGAACGTCAACTTTTGAGCTTAGTTATGAACTCGGAGTGATTGTCAAAAAGAATATCAATTTCAGGTTTTTCCTCTGCAAAATCATTGTACAGGCGCGACAAACGGACGACAGGTGAAACACGACCCAAATTAGTTCTGCAAACTTTACTTTTGAATAAGTTGCAAGGATGACGTGGTATTCTTGTGGGTACATTAAAATTAATTTTATTTAGTAGGGGAGGACAATCTATGAGACCATTTACCAACTTGTACAGAAAAGACATGTCAAGGTAAGATCTACGCAAGGACAGTTGTTCAAGGAGAAAATGATTAGTTCTGTCTTTGTAAGTTTTAATATTGCTTGGTGTTTTGAAACGATATGACAAACTACGAACAAATTTTTTTTGTACTCTTTCTATTCTGTTTATGTGTACTTTGTAGGTAGGAGACCAAACCATGCTGCAATATTCCAACCTACTCCTCACATAGCTGTTATAAAGCAGAATAATAGTGGTTGGTTTTTTAAAACTTTTTGAGTTCCTTAAGATAAAACCCAGTGACTTGTTAGCTTCGGCCACAATTTTATCGATGTGATCAGAAAATCTTAGTTGGCCATCCATGAGAACACCAAGATCTTGTAATGTGGTGACTTCTTGTAGTTTGGTACCGTTTATAAAATAACCTGATTTGAAAGGTCTGTGTTTTCTGGTAAATTTAATATGGTAACATTTTGAAATATTGAGATACATTTTATTATCATTACACCACTTAGTAAGGCTAACAATATCATCCTGAAATTTTTCCATGTCCAAGCTATTTGCAACCGTCTTCACTAATTTAAAGTCATCAGCAAAAAGATAACCTGTACTGTGCTTAATATTATCTGTGATGTCATTTATAAAAACATTGAAAAATAAAGGTCCCAATATAGAGCCTTGGGGTATTCCTGAAGTTGCCGCAAAAGAGTAAGACTGCACACCATTGAACACGACTCTTGAGTAACGACTGTGAAGGTAAGATATACACCACCTGAGTAGGCTGCCAGTTATTCCAAACATATCCAATTTTTTAGCCAAAATTCTATGATTTACTTTATCGAAGGCTTTTGCAAAATCGGTGTAAACTACATCTACCTGAACATTTTGATCAACTGCTTCCTTAAGCTCTGAGATATATAGTGTAAGATTAGTGTTGACTGATCTTCTTGCCATAAATCCATGCTGGTTGAATATTATGTACTTTTGTATGTGAGAATACAAAACAGAATGAACCATTGTTTCGAATAATTTAGACATAGCCGACAGAAGTGATATTGGTCGGTAATTAGATATCACATCTTTCCTTCCATTCTTGTATATTGGTACTATATTAGCTGCCTTCCATTCACTGGGAAAAATCCCGGTTTGCAACGATTGATTGAAAATGATACTCAGCGGGAGAGCCACTGTGTGAGCACACCTCACTAGAAAGAGTGGGTGTATATTGTCTGGTCCTGCTCCCTTTTTAAAGTCAAGCTTCTTAAGTTTTTTAATAACTTCCTGAGGCGTCAGTAGAATATTACTTATTGTGTCATGTGTGTGGACTGTCATTGCAGAAGCATCCAATGATTTGTCACTGTGATCGTCATCCCATTCATACACGGTGGAAAAATGATTGGCAAACATGTCTGAAATCTGATTTGCATCAGAAGATGTGTTATTATTTAGGGTCATGGTATTTGGATATGATGAGCTATTTTTACGCAAACTTTTTATGTGTGACCAGAATTTTTTTGGATTATTTTTCAATTCATCTTCAATATTATTTATATATATATTATAGCATTTTTTTATTAATTTATTACAATCGTCTCTCAAATAATCGTATTCTATTTGATCCAGTGGATTTTTATATTTCTTAAATTTTCTATGGTATTTATTTTTTTGTTTTAGTAGATGTATTAGGTGAGGTGAAAACCAAATAGGATATGAACCATTGCGAATTTTTGTCATAGGAATGTGAGATCTGATGGCGTCACGCAATATATTATAAAATTTTGTCACCATTTCATTAATACAGTTGCAGGAGCCAAATTCATCCCACCAGGATATGGATTTAAGGTACGTGTTAATGGCGTTATAATCACCTTTATAGAAATTACACCTACTAGGTATGTGTATGTTTGGACTTACTTCTCTTATTTTAATATTAACTTCTATTTTCAGAGCCGGGTGATACTTGTCAATATTTCTTACAGGACTTAAACATTCAGAGACATTCAGAATTTCGTCGTTGCATAATAGCAAATCTAATGTTTTATTTTGATAGTTGGTAACGCAATTGTATTGATTAAGGTCGTTAAGTGTTAAAAAGTCTACAAACTTACATAAAAGCTCACGTTCACTGTAATCTGCAGGAACTGCGTAGAGAACATTACTATCGCTGTATTTTGGGTGCCAACCTATACCGCTCATGTTGAAGTCACCGGCAATTATAGTAT